AGCTCCGTGAGTTGAGAGGTAAGAGAGGATGTGGTAATTGCGAGTGTCTGCGTCAGTGCGAGTATTTTCTGTTGTAGCTCATCCGAGACGCGTTGTTGCTCGCGCTGGTTGCGCTCCAACATAGCCAGTCGCAGATCGAAGGAGCGGCTCTCGTTACTTAAAGATTGTGGAGGTGTGTTTGATGAAGAAGTGCACATGGGACGTGTTCCCTTAACCTTAGCGGAGTATGAGCCCGGGGGGGGGGGGGGGGTGTTGCGGGAGGTGATAGGAACTCATGCGCTGAAGAGGAGGGCAGCGAAGGCTGAGTGGCTCGGCGCATGGCTGTGCGACGGAGAAAAGCTGCTTTGGCGCAGTCGCGTTGTTTAGCTAGAAGGTAGGGGCAGGTGGAGTCGAGAGATGAGTGGGTGTTGACTTGGCAATGGATGCACCAGGGTTGGGCGCAAACGTGAGCATCGGGATCTGCTGGTAGAGAAGACGCACAGCGGTGGCACTTGGCCGGAACGCTGTGTTGGGGGCATTGATGAGCACGGTGCCCTATAGCAAGGCACCGAGTGCAAGTAGGGGGCTTAGGTTTATGTGGACGGAATCGGAAAGAGACGCGTATGAAGTACACAAAGCGAGGGATGATGGTTCCAGCAAATGTTATGGGGACGTATTCAGTGGAGCCCATCATACTTGCAGCGAGTATGTCTGAAGTAAAGGATTCGAGGTCGTGCAAGAGCTGAGATGATGTGAAGTGACCACCGACGTTGTGTATGACGCCGAGACATGATATTGGAGGACTGGGGGCATATGGCTTAATGGTGATCGGCTTACCATTAAGTTCCAGACTTTTCAGGGAGAGTAGGAGGTGGGCAGTGAGAGGTGAGTGCGTTTTCAGAAACACAAGGCTCTGAACAGGTTTGGCCTTAAGGGTGACCTCCGCACTGGTCTTGGGAGAGAGATTCGCGGCGGCTATGATGGTAGAAAGCAGGTCATAGAGAGGCAGTTTCGGCGTGAGTGTTCCGGGTGGAAGTTGGATTCCGACGGTGATGAGCTCGGAGCGGGGGCGGGCGGTCGAGGCAGGTTTTTTATTGGCACTAACGGTATTCCAGCTGCCTTAGGGGGATGGCGTATTGTCTTCGTTGACCTGCGACGCCGTGAAGTCCATTTCCGTCGATAAGTCGTCAGCTGAAGTGATGGAAGGCAAAACTTCGGCGATGGAAGGAACGACGCTCGTCGAAAGGCGCTTGTCGACAGACTCGGAATTTCCAAGTGGGTAGGCATGTATGTAGTAACCATCTCGCAGCATATCCACGTAGTGAATGGTGATGAGTGGCACGAAGCTTCACAGGGTTTTATCGGCAAACCGTGAATCATCCGCTGGCCGCTTCCGTCCGTCCGTCCGTCCGTCCATCCGTCCACCTGTCTGTCTGTCTGTCTGTCTGTCTGTCTGTCTGTCTGTCTGTCTGTCTGTCTGTCTGTCTGTCTGTCTGTTTGTTTGTTTGTTTGTTTGTTTTTTTGACGCACGTACGAACGCGCACATGGACGGACGGATGGACGCACTGATGAACGAACGGGCGGATGGATAGACGTATTTATGGATGGATGCTCGAACGAACGGACGGACGCACTAACGGACGCACGGATGGAAGGACAGATGCATAGATTAACACACAGTCGGACGGCAGCAAGAACGAATGGACGGACAGAAGCGCGGACGGACTGACGGTCGCTTCACCCCACTCATAACCATTCACTTCGTGGATATGCTGGGATTTTTCATCGTCATCATCATCATTTATTTTACCCTTAAGGGCCTCTCTCGGGGCATTACATAAGGGGGGGGGGGAACAATGCAAGTACAAATTTCAATGAAAATGCAGTTCATGGTTACAGTTTTTGCATTACTAAAACATACAGGTAGCAACAAAAAACAAAAAGAAAACAGAGCATGTCAAACGAAATATTCAACAGTCAATTCGCGGTCAAAAATATACAGGCGGCAGAGAACAAACAACAAAAAAAGACAAACAGCGATTAAGAGTCAAGGGTAGCTAGTAATAAATCTCTAAATTTAACAGCAACTTGTTCGCTGACAATAGCATCCATCAAACTGTTCCACTCATCGATCGCCGTAGAAAGAAATGATTTATTAAAAGCGTTAGTAGAACCAAACAGACGTTGGATACTCAGGGAATTAAATAGGCGACGAGATGTTCGGACAGGCGGAAGTAAAAGTGAACCATGTAGGTGAGGAAAGCTGTAGTAAAGTTTGTGAAAAAAGACAGAGACGTGAAATTTTGCGTCGAGCTGACAAAACAGGGAGACCGAGGGATGAAAAGTTTGCAACGTAGCTTGTAGGATACGTATATCAGAAAAAACACAATGAGAACATTTGCCGCGCTTTCACTTGCTCTGGCCATTTCATGCTTTGAGTACTTGAGAAATCTCTTTTTTTTTTTCTGAATGTGAACAACACCGCAATACAAGAAAAGGCACAAGCGAAGAAACAGGCCGGACAAGCGCTGTCGCTTCACTAGCGTTTCTTTTCGTTTGCACTGCTCCTTCCTTTCACAAGTCTGTGGCCAACTAGCCCAACATACCACACCTTTACAAAAATATCATTTCAATTCATCCTCATTATTTATTTATTTTTTATAGCTCGATGCCCAAAGGCTAGTTTAGGTTCCATTTATAAGTATACTTAAGAACAAGTGTAGTAATCATAGTAACAGTCATCAGGAGTAGAAAGCTAGCTAGGAATGGTATCATAACGCAAGAAGTACCGTTTGGCTATTAGGAGGGGTCAAATTAATTTGAATAAACAAAAGGAAAAGTAAGAACATGCCATCTATAAACACAAGAAAATGGTGCAAGTAGTGTGCAGATCTGCAAAATGAAATAAGGAGTTAAGTTGAACGTATCAGTAATAGTTCCCTTTCATAGCTTAATAATGGAGCAACAATATTGCAAAGCATTGCGAAAAAACACAAGAACAAACTTGAGAAAAATATGTATACTTGGTAAAAAAATGTGTTCCATGAATACCAGTCAACTCAAAACAAGCGAAGAAAACTACTTCAAGGTAATACTTCTCGGTGGCGTCCACCATTTTTCTTGTAGGGTGTCATCAGCCCACAAATAAGACTTTTTGCAGCATTCTCAGTCCATAGATGTAAAACTTTTCGAATAGCACCTAGCAACAGTATTTGTCACCACCCCCCGTAATCGCACACACAAAAAACAAAAGGCGCGTTTGTAAAGCCTTCCACATTGTGTGACCCTGGCGCCGCGCATAGCGTATCAGGCATTCTGTTGTCGTGGTCCGAGAAGTTCATGGGTTGGGTGAAACTTCTTTTTTGTCTTAGCCATCTGGTTGTGTAAATTGTCTACGCTATTTCCGTGACACAAATACGTCAACGAGGTCTCGGTGGACCCCATCATAAAACACTTTCGCGGTAAAATAATTGCCCATGAACCCATCGTCAGTGTTCTACTTCTACTATTAAGATCATTAGCAATTTTTCGCAGCTTGGAGTGCCGGAAAATGTGGAATCTGGCTACATAGTTCGTCGATGAGATGACGAACAGCATAAAAGCCAAGCCAAGAAAGGCATAACAAGTGTACTGTTTTTCTTATTTTTTTTAGATTTGATGTCCTCGCTCTCCTCTGACGATTGACAAATGTTCATGCAGTCTACAGAATCAAGCAAACTATGCCGAGCTGAGGGTCGGAAATATAAAGACGCACAGGCGAATTTCAAAGCCTTATTTTTGGTTGTTGCCGTGCTGCATTCGCTGGTGATATGCAAAGCACTATCATTGCATGGTAGTTTGAAGAGGGGAAATGGCAGATGCCACGTACGAAGGGAATCGATATTGTGTGAAGCTTCCGGTGAAAATTTCAAGCAATATGCAAAATAGATGATGAGGAGAGATGAAGGGTGATGTTGAAAGGGAATGGGGGCACGGAAATATTAGGGAACCGCCATTACTGCTCGTGTTAAGCACGCAGGCAGAGAGCATTCTCCTGAAATCATGGTGGTTTCTTGCAACCATTTTTCACTGTCCATGGTAATTATCGCTTCGCTAGAAGCTTCAAAAGTTGAAAGTTGGTTTAACAAGTAAATACAAAAACCAACGACCATTTCGTAAGTGCTTGGCGCTAACCAGACACTGAATCGCGTCCAGTTATGTTGATTGAGTCTTTGTAGACATGTATTTGGAATAGATTAGAACCAACGTAGCGTAACGGGGATGATGCTTTTGTGCAATAAGCATCTTGCGAGCAGTTCCTGTTTTCGTTTACAAAACTTGACTACAATGTGCATGCCTGTGAGTACTTGTGAACGCTTCTTTTTATCCCCATGACTGATAGTTCATCGTTCATCATGATAGTTCATCACCTTGAACTATCTGCGAGTCTCTTCAACTTCCGAATTCGTCGTTTCCCTGTTTTGTGCAAACTCCACGCGCTATCCACATAACCATAAATATTAAATTGCGCATTCGGTCACTGTGTGTGAAAATGCGTGTATACTGGAAGACATTGCACATATCTAATTTGACGAAGTGGACGTGTGGTACCATCCCGCTCGTTGGCGTAACCAGGGTAGGCGGACAGACCCACCTCCTAAGGTTGTTCAGTTTCTCGTGTATGTGTATGCTTCAACGAAACAAACAGATGCTAAAACATACCTAAGGTATTGTCGCTATTCTTCCCACCTCCACAAAAGCATTTCGGGCTACGCCACCGATTACAACATCGCGAATCATCTCTGCTATTATAGATATGGTATACAGCGCGTTGTTTCGGCATCGCTCCGTTAGTTTATACGAAAGGTTCTAAATACAGAGAAATATCAAACACGAAAATATTTATCTCCTTTTCGCTCTCATACTCATGCCAACACCCTCACTCACTCACTCACTCACTCACTCACTTGTTCACTCACTGACTCAATGACCTGCTCACTCACATACTCCACTTACTCTGGAACGTGCACTCTCTATTAAAGAGTACGAGGTGCACTACAAGAGGGAGCACGGTTCCTGGGATTCGGTGCACGTGGCTCCTCCGCAGCCGAAGGCCAGTGGTGGTACCGGAGCCAGAGAGACACCTTCGCCGCCCATGTTAGCCTCGGCCACTCGAGTCAACGGCACATGGTTGGCTCACGAGCTCACCGGCCTGTCATGTGGCACGCAGTACCACATCTACGTGGTGACCGTGGCTGACAGGGGTCGCAGCGAGCCCAGTGACACCGTGTTCGCAAGGACGAAGGGCGGAGGTAAGAATGCATGACTCTGTACCTTCATCACACATAAAAGCTTCACTCTGATCAGAAAAAGGAAGCGTAGAGAAAGGCAGAAGCAAGTGAGGTTAACTAGTAAAACGCTGTGGTTGGCTGCCCTACGTTGACTTAATATCAAATGGAGAAATAAACAATTAAGGCAGCTTCACACTAGTGGTGTGAAGCCTGAAGGAAGAGCCGAGGTGGGTGGCGTTTCAAATATTTCTTCATTTTTTCTAATTCTTCTTACTTTTCTTTGTATTTCTCGCTGTTTTGTGTAGCTCTTTTTTAAACTTATTTATTTCATTAGCTTTCTTTTGCTCTGCATTGTTTTTTTTTTCTTTCCAGCGTTTTCTATTTATCTTTTTCTACCGGTTGGTACTCTCTAAGTCTTTATGGAGTACTGCTTTTTCGTTCTATAATTCTCTGTCTATTTTTTTCTTGTTCTCCTATATTTTTCTACCTCTTTCTCTCTATTCGTTTTTTGTCATTTTAGTTTTTTATTCCTTTACTTCCTCTACTTTATTCTCTCTCTTTTTCTCTCACTCACTCTTTTTATATGTATATATTAGGCGTTTTTTAACTTGTTTTTACTCTAATTATCTCTGTTTCTCCTCATTTTTTCATAGCTGACTCTTCCTTCTTTACCTCTATCTCTTTCTATCGCTTTCTTTCTGTCTTTTTCGCTTGTTAGTTTTTGTTTCACACTCGCCTCTGTTGTACACGATAATAGGGCTTGCCCGATTCCTAGGGCGCATACCAGCAGAGGTGTTTTGCGCGACGAAGCGCAAGTTACTGACAACTTTTACTGATAACCTTAACATTTTCACTATATAAAGAACGAATAGAGCGCATGCCACTTTATGAATGTAGGAGCTTTTTTTTTTTACGATGGAGCGCGAGTTACTGCCGCTTAAACGGATTCGCTGTTTAGGACAAGCCCGAAAGAGTGAAATAACTGCTATTGTTGCCTCACACTTCCAAGGATCTAATTTCTGTTTAACATGACTACGTGAACTCTCTTATGTATTAGGATTATGTTAGCGTTCTTCCAAGACTCTGGTACTCTTCCCGTCAGGAGACACCTCGTAAACAGGGTGGCTAGTTTTTCTAACACAATTTGTCGTCCATATTTCAGCAGATCTGATGTTACCTGGTCCTCACCAGCAGCTTTGCCTCTTTGCATGCTCTCCAAAGCTTTTCTGACTTCTTTTATTATTACTGGTGGGGTGTCATCTGGGTTACTGCTAGTTATTATAGTATTAAAGTCGTGGTTGTCCCGGCTACTGTACAGATCTCTGTAAAACTCCTCCGCTATTTTAACTATCCTATCCATATTGGTAGTTATTTTGCCTTCTTTGTCCCTTAGTGCATACATCCGATTTTTGCCTATCCCAAGTTTCCTCTTCACTGCTTTGACGCTTCCTCCGTTTTTCAGAGCGTGTTCAATTCTCTCTATGGTATACCTTCTTACATCGGATACCTTACGCCTATTAATCAACTTCAAAAGCTCTGCCAGTTCTATTTTGTCTCTTGCACTTGAGACTTTCATGATTTGACGCTTCTTAATGATATTCTTGGTTTCCTGGGTAAGCTTGCCAATGTCCTGTCTAACTACCCTGCCTCCAACTTCCACTGCACACTCCGTAATGATACTCGTCAGATTCCCATTCATTGTATCTATGCTAAGGTTGGTTTCCTCATTAAGAGCCGAGTGCCTGTTCTGAAGCGAGACTCTGAATTCCTGTACTTTCCCTCTCAGTGCTAGCTCATTGATTGGCTTCTTGCGTATCAGTTTCTGTCGTTCCTTTCTCAAGTCTAGGCGAATTAAAGACCGTACCATTCTACGGTCACTGCATCGTACCTTGCCAACCACTTCCACATCCTGCACGATGCCTGGGTGTGCACTCATTATAAAGTCTATTTCGTTCTTATTTTCGCCATTAGGGCTCCTCCATGTCCACTTGCGGTTTCTTCGTTTGATTACAGAGTTAGACAAGGAGAGAAGAAAGGTGGGTCTTAAAATGAATCTGCAGAAAGCGAAAGTAATGTACAACAACCTCGGAAAAGAGCAGAGGTTCGAGATAGGTAATAGTGCACTTCAAGTTGTAAAAGACTTTGTCTACTTAGGGCAGGTAATAACCGCAGAGCCTAACAACGAGATTGAAGTAACTAGAAGAATAAGAATGAGGTGGAGCACATTCGGCAAGCACTCCCAAATTATGACAGGTAGATTGCCACTATCCCTCAAGAGGAAGGTATATAACAGCTGTATTTGCCGGTACTTAGCTACGGAGCAGAAACCTGGAGACTTACAAAAAGGGTTTAGCTTTAATTGAGGACGACACAGCGAGCAATGGAAAGAAAAATGGTAGGTGTATCCTTAACAGACAAGAAGAGATCAGAGTGGATTAGGGAACAAACGGGGGTTAAGGACATCATAGCTGAAATCAAGAAGAAGAAATGGACACGGGCCGGGCATGTAGCGCATAGACCGGATAACCGCTGGTCGTTAAGGGTAACTAACTGGATTCCCAGTGAAGGCAAGCGGGTTAGGGGGAGACAGAAGGTTAGGGGGGCAGATGAGATTAAGAAGTTTGCGGGTATAAATTGGCAGCAGCAAGCACAGAACCGGGTTAACTGGCAGAACATGGGAAAGGCCTTTGTCCTGCAGTGGACGTAGTCAGGATGATGATGATGATGATGATGATGATGATGATGATGATGATGATGATGATGATGATGATGATGATGATGATGATGATGACGACGTGAACTTTCACGTGCTTTGTTGTGCCTACTTGTTCAATTGACCTATACCAAATTTTCTCATTGACGACACACGAACGCAGTGCCATCGTCGCCCAAGCAGAAGGCTTTCGTGTCGGCCAACGCAAACTCGCTGACCCTTCGTCCGTCCTCCTGGGCGTCTGGTTCATCCGGCTGCCCAGTGTCGCACCTAGCCGTCCAGTACAAACCACGTGACAGATCGGGACCCTGGACGGTGGCTTCGCGCGCGCTGCAGCCGCGAGAGGGCCCCATGACGCTGCACCACTTACGGCCAGGACACCTGGTACAACCTGCGCGTCACGGCACACACTGAGGCTGGGCACAACCTCAGCAGAGTACGCCATCCGCACCTTGCCAGCTTCGGCCACGCTCACAGGTACTGCGCTGATTGTTGAATGCGTGACCTTAACCTTTAGCCTCAGTTAGCCAGGAAAGCGCCTTCAAATGTGTTTTCTTCCGAATTCATCTGTTCTATTTTTAAATATTTTTAGGCATTAGAGAATTACGTGCAATTTTAAACGCTGCGACTAAATGTTAATGCTGTAATATTATTAATGATTAGCCCTTGAGTGAATTTTAAACGCACATCCTAAAGGGTAAATGAAGAGCAGTACAGGGAAAATAGAACACCCGAGCACACATATAAAAAAACACTCATACGCACATAGCAAACTACGCCAACGCAAAGATAAAGAAATCGTTGTTTAACGTGCCCAGCGCGCGCAAAGATAAAACAATCAAAAATAAAACGCGCAATGGAGACAGTCTCCGGAAGCAAATCCAAATGGGAGCAAGAACGCTGACACGAAAAGAAATTGACACAAAGACAACGTGAGTAATATTGAACGGGAATGAAAAATAGTATGCGCAAGCTTACTGACAGAAGTAGAGTGGAGGAACTTGTTTATAGTGCAAAACTATATCAAGACAGTGGAAATCTGGGATAAAAAGGATGCATGCGGACTATGAAAAACGTCAAGATCATAAAAGTTAACATCATAGACACGAACTACTTAGCAAGGGTGGCTTTCCGGTCTTGTCGGTGTTACACGTTCACAGGGTTAAGCGCAACGATTATGAACGAGGACGAGACAACCAGAACACACGCAAGCACTACTGTGCCGTAGCGCTTGTGTGTGTTCTCCCTCTTCCATCCGCGTCAATTCAGCGATGCTTGTAACCTTATGAACTAAATAGCGGTTGCGTTCGGTGTACAGCATAGTATTGCAAACACTGTGCTGAAGCAGGCGTGTACATGAAATAGTTCATTTTCTCTAGTTAACTTGCACGAAACTCTAAAGTTTATACAACTGAGAAATTCAAGGTAGAATATGATACCGTGAACTAGCTTGCTAAAAAGTAACAGATCAACGTGACTTCACAGGTAGTAGTGGGGTGGCAATGTTGACAATCCATCAGTACTTTAACGAGATATAGCCTTTCTAGTGAAGCGATGGCTATCTATGGTGAGGATGTTTTGTTTTGTTTTGTTTTTTTGAAACTCATACAACGGTAGTGCTGCTGGACTGAGTTATTCCATTTCGGATCACATGTGCATACTCAAGTTGATGAAGAAATATGATATATTGGGGTGTGAAGTTTATGGAAGGCTTTAGGACAAGTGAATTCTCTAAATTTTCTTAAGCATGACCGAGAGACGATGGCCCCGCACAGCAGCCCACTTACCGCGAGCAGAAATGTTTAACTTGCAATAGAAAAAAACCTCAAGATCACTGATCTACGAAACTTTACATCATGACACCGATTTTACAGAGTATAAAAAGTGGCACGCTAGATTTTTAACGAGTTGTTTTAGCACCTTCACGTCGTCATCAGCGCAATGTCTTTAAAGCTCTGAACAATGTTTCGCTTGCAAGGGAGCTTATAGAAAGACTGTAAATAGCTTTTGACCATTCTAGGTTTCAATTCATTACCACCTTCATCCTCAGCATCATATGCGCCTTCTCTCTCCTCCTTATTCCACCCTCTACCCTCTCCAAACGCTAAGAAGCAGGTCTGAAAATTTATTCAGGCCAACCTCTCAGCCCTCCACTCAAAATAACCCTATAACAAAAATTTTTGTCGTTGAGATATTCAGGCATAGGTTGTTACAGTTGCACTATTCGGGAATAAAACACAAATCTGACTGCATCAGGCAATAGTCGTTAACAGAATCAATATATCTCGATGTCATTGGCATGCAGAGGGAAAAAGTAATGAAAAATAGCACGTTTTGAATGCACACAAAAACCAAATTACCCGCCTATTCAGCCCACTAAATGCAAAAGTACGCCCTATGCTAGTCATTGCAATGAACTGTACTTCCTGCTCTTTAAATTGTAACTGATCCTAAGGCTTTAGTTTTGCATCGTGACTATAAGGCCAAGGTTTGCGCTTGCTTGAGTGTGAAAGACAGCTTGCTTCCCAAAAAGGCACAATGTGTGCTTTCTAAAGCAGCCAGCCCATCACAAAAATCAAGTTGCAGGCTTGTGGCCTTCAGTCATTAGAATGGCGCATTGTGCCCGTACAAACAGACCGATAATTTCTATTACGACATCCTAATTCACTTTTGCTGCACTTGGTATCAGTCATCGCTGCTGCATATTTGGAATAATTTAGTTTATTTTTCCCGCATCGCTAATTCACGCACTGTCACGTCATTATTATACTCAGCCAGCTTCAATCAACATTTCTCGTGACAATGCACTAAAAAGAGTTAATGCGAAATTCACTTAATGTTCTGGTGATATTAAATAAGGAAGCTAGTTCGAAAGGAAAGACACTGTCAAAAAAGTATTAGCAGAAAATTTGAGCACACAACTTTTTTTTTGTTCTTCTGTGCTAGCTTTTTTATGATTTGCGCATTTTTAGGTTATTTACTTGAAGGGACCAATTAGATGCTCATTACATGAATCCTAACTTACGCATTGTCGCGGCAACGTTTTATTCGTTATTTAGCTGCTACGATTACGCGTAACGTTGCTTGCAATTGACTGACGCCTAGCCTTAACCCATTGCCTTCTACCATGCTGCCGCAACGGGCCTTCGGTGCACATCACAGGCACTGTACTCCCGGAATTGATGGTCGGGAATGGCGGTGGGGGCACGGACGGCGACCTAACGCTGTTGGTGCCCATCGCTACCTCGCTCAGCTTGGCCCTGACCGCCGCCGCACTCGTCTTGGGCTACCTTTGCTGCAGGAGGCGCGCAGATCCCACATTCGACAAGGGTCGCGGTAAGCACCACTGCACTAACGGCTCTGCTACTGATTTACGAAGTTTCAACCATGCAAACAAACCTATTTCATGAAATAGGCACTACATTCAAGCAATTATTCAGCTATATCGGTAAATTGTCTTCTGACAGCTCTAACTGTCTTCAACTTAACCATGATAGGTTTATTACCAGAAGAGTAAAGTGAAGGTCAAAGTTTCGTTTTTAAATTTCGTGCTGAAACCAGCGCAAGTGACGTGACAAAGTAGAAAGTTTACTTTTCGTATTTTGGCGACATTGGCTCAACTGAACTCCCTGAAACTTTTTAATTCAGGACTATCACCCCTCTGAGGCATATGTGCTACATTTGCATCGATTAAGAACCACGTAGGCCCTACAGCGGGCCGTCAAAATTTATTACGTTCCGACGTTCGGTGCGAAAATGTCAACGTAGCTTCACCACCCAAGTTTTCTTCCTTGCGTGTTTTCGTTTACTAAACGTTTATAGAGACAGGCGTGGTTACTTTCTAAATTCGGAAAAAGTTGCTTACTAATAGGAAAAAAATCGTTTTTCTTCATATTGTTGTTTTAGGGAACATAGCAAGCGTTCTAATGATAGACAGCAACGCACCGGGTATTAGTGGGCTAAAATGTGTAGAGATTATCTTTGATATCACTGATTTCATGGTACTGGCAAAACGCACATACTTCTAAAGCATCCACCCAGTTGACTAGAACATGAAAGTCTTCGTTTTTTTTTTCTTGTTTTGTTGATGTATCAAACATTCCGAACCCCTCTTCAAAAGCTGTCCGGAAAGAACGTTTTTTTATGATTCCTTAAATATCGGTGGCATTGTAAGCTTTGGGTATTTAACCGTGTTTTGCGTTGCCTCCGATATCGGCCCACCTTAGATCAAGCAGTATTGTTTTAAAATGCACTGGCCGGTGTATCTCATCTCTGCTTGAGGGGCACCCGTCGGCAGTCCTCGAAAGCTTTCTCTCACACGTACAACATACGATGTGCGGGGCAGTGTTACTTATTTGTACCTAATATAGAGCATGACGACTACGGCAATGCCAAATATGCGCCTGGAGCGTCTATATGTTGGCACTGCAATAATAATATTATATTATTATTATTATTATTATTATTATTATTATTATTATTATTATTATTATTATTATTATTATTATTATTATTATTATTATTATTATTATTATTATTATTATTATTATTATTATTATTATTATTATTATTATTATTATTATTATTATTATTATTATTTTATTTCTGCCTCCAGAAATACAAGCATAGGGAAGCTGCAGATGATACCTCCCCATCTCACTCTTTCGCACCCTTTTTCCATAAGCAGCATACTACGTTGTCAGAAAATGAAACCACAGTCGAGGATTGTAGAGGGCCTTAATCTTTCAGAAGACGTAAAGTATTATGACCGTAGTAGTTGTAATGACAACGATGAAAGCGGTGGTTTTTAGCAACACCAGTTATGCAGATTGATAGTAAAAACAGAAGCAGAAAAAACATGAACGACAATGAAACGTAAATTTTACGTGAGCACTTCTGTTCTCGCAGTGTGTAACCTAAATATGCTCGGGGAATGCCTTCGCCTCACGAGAAATACAACAAGGGACGTACTTGCCAACTTCGCTTTCTCAAACGCCAAACCCACTCAACTTATATCAGTGAAAGCAACAGTGTGCATACTCGTGAGTGATTGGTTGTATATTGTACCTTGGTAGGGCACTTTTGTTTACTGTGATCTAGCGACACAATTCACGACACATATAGAGGGCATGATTCATATTTCCTTTTTTTTTCTCAATAAATGTTGTCGTTACATACAGGAGTCCCGCTACAGCTAGTGGGTTCACTGGACACCTAAAACATATCAAACTTCAAGTAGATTGCGAGGATAACAACCTGGCCCGATCTGGAAACTCTTTTCATTCAGACAATCAAACCGACTTGTTATGTGCGCAATATGTTTCTTCTTACTACGGCTATGCGTAAGGCAAAGCACGCTTTACAGACAACCTTACCACGTCTCTTTCAGTATGGTTTGCAGTTGTCAACATGCCACGGCAAGCTTGTCAATAAAATGCTATACGTACATATCCCTGTTTGTAAGTATAATAAGCTGATACATTTTGTTTCTTGTATTGCTTATCAACTCATTTCCATTTTGTTTTTCATTTTATTTTTTATCTGGTTCCTTCTCTCTTTCTGTCATGATTTTTTTTCTTTCGGCCCTTTATTTATCTCTCTGTCTTCCTGTCTTTCTCTTCTCTCTTTATCTTTCTTTCATTGTCAGTTCCTTTATTCCCTTTTATTTTTTGTACCTCTTTTCTGTGTCTTTTTTCTCTTTGCGTGTCCTTCTCTCGTCCCAAGTATTTATGTCTTTATTCCCTTATTTTTCTTCCTTTCTATCACCTTCTTCCGGCCTCTCTTTTCTTGGTTTCTTTACTTTTCTTTCCCTATTTCTTTCTTTCATTCTTTCTCTTTCTCACGTGTTTCACGTGCTCCACTTCGTATAGCATAGCTTCTATTTAATCCTCCTGCACCCCACAGGGTGGTCTTTCAACTCCATTTGAGCTTGCCCACCTATGTTTCTTCTTTTTCACCACCGCCAAACTACGGCGAGCTACAATAGCACTATTCTTACTACAGCACTCACAGTGTCCCGCCGTTCTTACCAACAGGGGGCCACGCAGTAGTAGGAGGTGGTCGCAGGGCCAGCAACGACACCCTCGCCGAGTCGGTGCTGATGAAGCGATCCAGCATCGACAACGTCCTCTCTACGCTCACTTCGGCGTCCGGCCGTCAGGGGTCGTCCTGCCTGGCCTCACCGGGACGCCACTCCGCAGTAGGCACCCACAGTCACACCCACGCAAGGTACGCAAACAATGCCAACGCTAGGGCTGTGTGGCATTTCGTTGTACGAGTGTAGTCGTCTGCAAGAACACTCGGGTATGAGATGCTGCTTTTCACCGGTATTCCCAAACAATGACGCGTCATTTCTTTCTTTCTTAATTCCATCTACACTGCTTGAGAGGCAACGTTCTCTTAAATTGGACCTGCAATACTTTTCAAAGTAATCTTTGAAAGGTGCATTAAAGAAGATTACCGTTTCATTATTCAACTGCCACTCCTCAAGTACGAAGGAAGTTATACATAAGTTCATCGCGTGCTTTTGGCGCTTTTTCTCCTATTGTACGAGTGAGCGTGCTGAAGCCTATGAAGGGGAAGGGGAGCGACAAGGGGGCTAGAACATGCACCTATTCGTAAGCGTGTGTCATGAACACGCCATTGAGCGCTTTTTATCTTTTCTCTTCGAAGAGCGGCTTACTTTGTGTGCGATCGCCAGCGCCGGTGCGGGCATGTGGCGACACACCACAGAAGCCGCGGTAACTATGTCGCTCACGATGCAGGAATCAGCCAATTGACGAAACTTTGTGTTTATGGCACGATCATTTGCGTTGATAGCATCATTTGTCAAGAAAGGGGGAACAATTTGTAGCTGTCATAGAAAATTATTTACAAACTCCAGGCCACGTGCTGTGCTGTATAGCGTTTGGTGCACGTGTTCCAAGAAGCTTCGTCTTCCGATCGGCAGTGTTTTTTTACAATACTGAATAAAGTCGCAGGTAGCCTCTATGTCTGATGAAATCAGGGGATACATTTGGATTTTACACGTTTATTCTCGCAAAATTTGCGATCATGAGCATTCAGTGACATTTTGGCGATAGAGGAGTGCCGTTTTTCAGACAGCTACTTGTCTCATGAACTTCCGATAAATGTTCTTCAAGTGCTGGGGTTGCACTGCTCTCCAACTAAGGCTTGCTACAAATAGTAGGGCTTGATTTCAATCGCAGTTGCCGGCACTCCTTTTCAAAAATTATTTCGCTCATTCTCATTATCATCATATTTATAACCATCCTCATTTTCGTCATCAGTGTTAGAATCAGTCAGAAATTTTAGGTCACATTCGTAGTTAATTAGAAATTCGGTGCACAATTGTTGGTGAAAACATCTGGTACAATAACAAAGCAGAGTAGTCTGGCGGACTTTCGGCATGGCCCCATGAGTTGAGCCCTCAATCCAGCAAGCATGACAATGCAGGTTAATTGCATGACCAAATGAAAATAATTGCCTTTACGAATTATTTAAGAATTATTTAACTGTCTACAAAGCGACAGGAAGACTGAGTCATCGAATTACACAAATTAAATCTTGAGCTATGCTACAACAAACTCTGATAACTTCCCGAAGCTCGCGAAAGGCAGCAATGGCTTTTTTTTTTATTACAGGTTCAATTGATGACATATCAGGGTATGCACCGTTCCCAGAAACCCAAATAAAGTCCAGAATAGTTCTCAAGAAAACGCAGGTAAGCTGTCTAGCATTGAAAAATGGCTACTGCAAGCTAATAATGTGCGCATTTATTTAATTACGGTGTTGCTCATTTCCTCATTTTCACAGGAACAACCTGTAGCAAACACTAGGATGAAGAGGCTATTTTCAATTCATAATTTTTCCGGCAACAATGGTAAGTACGAAGCTTTAATTCGTCTTTAGCCGGGAGAAGTTAATATCGCATCACATGTAACATTTCTCGAGCGCTATTACAAAAGTGTGCCGCCTCGCTAATGCCGAAGTAGACATCTAACATTGACGGAGTGAATAAGTTGAAACACGATTCTGTTTCAAGTCGAGCACTCTACGTTGTGATAAGAAAATGGCTAGGCCGTGTATAGGGACACTCGTGTATAAGAAACTCTGCTGGAAGCCTTTAACCTTTCAGGCATAAAGGCTTCCAGCAGAGTTCTGACACCACTGCTTCGCAAACGTGGATGCAGAACTGGACTTTACTTGCTGCTGAATTATCATGCGGCATTTGCTGAATGTCAAATTGGCGTCGATTTCCACCGATTAGTCATTCAACAAGACAAATTATCACTCCTCTACATTCAACAAAGACTCTGTTTTTAGGACATTACAGAAACAACAGATACAACTTCTGTACTTTCCCTGCGTGACTATAACATATACGTATTTGTACGAGCCGTGTACCTGATACCACTGATAAGGTATGTGTAAAACTTGAGAGGCACGTTAAAGAAGGCATTTATTTTGGCTTTTTTTTCTCTGTGTCTTTCTATCTTTTTTCTCTTGTCAAAAGCACCTAAATTGGTCCACCTGCATGACTTGCTCCCATTGATTACACACTGCCCCTGCCTTCGTTAATAGTCGTTTTAATTCGCTGTCATAATAGCTGAAACAGCGCATGTGACGAATGCGATCTCGAGGAGACAGCTGAACATGTTTTCCACTAATATCTTCGATACGAGGAGAAACACTCGTGACTCAACTAGCACACATTGTGGCGTACCAATCTCATGACAAAAACTAAACAAGAACTGATATCAGGTTGGTTGGTACTGATTGATTGTTTCTGAGAGTGCGAAGGACAGCCAAGGAGCTGTTCTTTTATGAGCGCATGGCGCAATCACAGAGTGCGGGCTGTGGCACCATATTTGCTGAAGCAATTAGTAGGATCAGTATTGATTTTTTTAATCACTTAGCCTATTTCTGGTACATGCACTCATGACACATGTTAGCATGAGTGGACGTGGCCATGTGGTAGCATCTTTTCGCATCTTTGTTCGCTTTAACGTTGTTTAGCTTTTATGCCTTTCCTTTCCTCGGGTGGCTACACCTGTATACTTGGCGTTACCACACACTAAAATTTTGTTAAAATTCACGCTTGTCCTGAGTTCTTTTCCGTAGCACATGTCTTTCGCGCTTTAAAGAGCTTATAAATAAGAGAACAATTATCTTTGGAATACCGGCTCCCATGATTCCCTGGCTGAAGAGGAATCCGCATGCAGATATTGTAGTTTTCACTCGAACAAACCTGCACGAATGGCTTTATCAATTACGGTCGTCATCATGCGCTGTGAACAGCAGTGAATGTGTGCCTCCGATTCTCTTTCCCTAACGTTTTTTCTGGAGCCCTCCGTCTCCATCCATCGTGAGGCAGAAAATGCCGAATTTCTCCTGGTTTTCACTTCTGTACGTTTACTATCTCTATATTTTCTTCCTCGCCTATTTTGCTGGTTGAAGTTGTGGCAACAAGGCAATGAAACAACTCGTGGCTAATGTAGTTTTGACTTTTGAGCCAGCATGACATCCTGTGCCACTTTATTTGTCTTGTCTGTGGTCAGTCGGTTCTCCCCATCAAGCCCAATATGGCCTTAGCAGGCCAATCTTCATTGGATTGTTGCTCTCTCAAAATGGTAATAAAAACCTAATAATACTGAAATCAATTATTATTATTATTATTACTATTATTATTATTATTATTATTATTATTATTATTATTATTATTATTATTATTATTATTATTATTATTATTATTATTATTATTATTATTATTATTATTATTATTATTATTATTATTATTATTATTATTAGCGGTAGTAGTAGTAGTATCGTAGTCTTAAAAAATGCACGCAACACCCCTGAATAACTCATCGCAATCGACTTTTCAACTCTTGCTAAACCGAATACATTTTTGATAAAGCCAAAGGCAGGCGTACAGTACTTAATTTTACTATCAATGTACAGTTGTCATATTTTTTACTTGAAATCAAGCTTTGTAACATGGGAATAGAACCTGTTCATACAAACGTTTGGTGCGTGTATCTGCTCTAGGGTGGCACTCGTTTTGAGCGATATTTTTCTGGGTAATGTTGATCGGCTTGTAAACTGTGAAATGCGTGATCTGCTCGTAACCGTTTTTCACTACATTGGTGACTTCCTAATTCTTTACCTTAATTATTATGCCCTTTTTTAAAGCAATAATATCTGAAGATATTTAAGGAAAGGGCGTTTGGACTTAATCGCACCAACAAATTACCGAATAATAATTGCTTGTAGCTTTTGGACCTCTGCTTGTTTTTGCAACATTACCACGTTCGCTGATGTTTCTTTCCTTGTTCTCATCTCTTGAGGGCGAAGCTTAAGGGGCCTCCAATTTTTGAGAATGTCAATTCTACAAACTCTTTAGAGTCTGTCATCGCGAAGTTCCTGTATGCACAAATGCCAGCACAGCTTTCAGCAGCAGGTTCATCGACAAAGGAACGTTGGGTTTTCCTCCGCATGTACTTGTGTGAGCGTCTGAAAGACCAATCAAGAATTATAGATGCCGCCCGGTTGAAACCACTGAACCTGGTGGAAAGGTAAAACAAATTTGCCGTCATACCTTACGTGCGCTAGCTATCGCATCGGTTCAGGAAGTATCTAAAGTATCTTCTACGAGACAGAGTTGAGAAAACCTAGTGCTCCAATTTAAAGGAGAGCTATACAGCAAGCCGGTGTATGTTGAACGGTGATGAACTGCAATCCCGCCATTTTCTGCCCCATCAGTCTGGTCTATCACATTTCCCTTTCCTGCGGAAAGGTGTATACAGGCCGTTCCGGTAAATGCATTACCGAAGTGCTTCACCAGGCTAATATTACCTCAAAGGGAACGCTGACGTCACACCTTTAGGTCTATTTCACATCAAACCTTTTTTTCAGGTAACACTGTCATTATGCTGTAACTCAAAAACAAAAAGGCATGTAACTTCCTGAAGCATTCTCTATCAAAAAGATGAGAGATAGAGAATAAAACATTTATTTGCGACAGAAGAAGGAGTGTCGGTGAGTGGGCTCCTTAGGGCGGGATCCCATTGGCACGGGCCGCTGTCCTTCGCTCGTCTCACGAGGGCCCTCTTGGGTCTTCTGAACGAGCTGGACAGAGCTGCCTCCCACCTTACAGTGTTATGCTGTGCACTGGGTGTAGAGGTGGATTGTGTGGGCATTCCCATACCATGTGGTACAGGGTGGCTGTTTTAGTGACGCAGAACCTGCACTGTGGTGTGTATGTGTCGGGATCTATCTTGGACAGTATGTATGAATTGGGGTAAGACAAGGTCTGCAGGCGACGCCACGATACCTGAGATTCTTTACTGAGCTTTGGCCCCGGGGACGGAAGTTTCCGTCTTTGAAGTCTTTGGTGTTCTAGAATATCTGTGTATGTTAGGAACGGGTCCATACGCATAGCCGAGGGTGGGTGCGATATGCCGGGGTTGGAGGACCGGAAGAGTGATTCACGGGCCGAGGCATTAGCGAGCTCATCGCCTCTAACTACGCAGTGGCCAGGTATACATATCAGCTGTTTCCATTCGCCCTCTGAGCGTGAGGACGAAAGTTGTGTAAGAAGTCGATGCGCAATGGGGACAATGTAGCATTTACTGTTCAGCACATGTACTTGTATAGTATCTGTGTTACAAGATACTGAGTAACTTATACGCAAACTTACTTTGCTTCGTGATTCGCAGATGCTCATAAAGGAGGTCGAGGAGCGGAAGCCGCCCACACACCAACAGCACAGTTCAACCACTACGACGAGCCAAAAGCGACGAAAGCTGCAGGCTGTCCAAAGAAATGGCAGCATCCGGCCGAAAAAGGCAGTCGGCCCTATGTGATACCGCAAGAAAATAGTGAGTATATCTGTCGTTTAAATTTTGCTCAAATCTTTTCATCGAATGCTTTTCTTGTAGATGTTGTTTTGTTTTTAAAAAACTGGCTTATGCCCATGAGAGAGAGCCAAACTGTAGCTGATTAAGGCTTACATGTTGCCTAAATGGTAATACGTGTCGAGTATAGGTCACCAATTAGTGACCTATGTGTGCTTTTGTTTGACTGCTGTGAAGCTGCCCAGTGTATGAGGGGACCAGGGGCTCTTCAAGCTGCTCAATGCAGCTTCTTTTCTGCCTGGTAATTGTCGTAAGTAAGCCACAAATCACAAGGCCAGTTAATGTCGTCAGATATTTTTCGCGTGAAATACATCAGATCTGCAACGAATGTCAAACAGTAACTGCGCTTTGCGAACAGCATTTTCTTTCATGCATAGCGAATACGTGGCTAGAAAACCTCGACGGCATACAAAATCATGCAACGCTCGTAAAATCAAGCTTAAATGTATTTTTACGATACTGAAACAGAGCATGCATAACGTGGGTCTCCAGCAGTGACTCTCAATTGCGAATAGAATTTTTTTAACGTAAAGCATATCTGTGGCCTCGAATCCTCAAAGTCATTCAAGGTCATGCTGAATTTCTCGGGTGAAATAAAAGTTTTGCTTTATAGTAGTAAACCACATCGTGTATCCAATGTATCTCGAACAAAATTTGTCATTCGAGTGCAACATTCTTCTTTACGTAATGACTGTGGCCAGAAAACCTCAAAACAACTAATGGTGATTAAGTATTTTGTATAAAAAGTAACGTTTTATTTCGTTATAGTTACCCATGACAGATCTCCAGAGAAATCCAAATATCAGCTCAAATTTTCAAGCAGCATTTTTCTAACGTGGGAAGCAAATATTTGACTACAAAACCTCGAAGTCATTTAATCGAAGTCAGGTTTGATTACCAGTGACTAATTGTAGTCTGACCCTTTGACGTCTTTTGGATCATTTCATAATGTCCCATTCGTAGCGCATGCGTTTCGTACATTTACGCTATTTTTTATTACTAGAGCACTGCTGCAGATGACATCAACGTTTTAGATATTTCCAAACATTGATCTTTTACTCTGACGTAAATTGTAATTGGCCTTCAGTGTCCTTTTCCTAAAGCTGAAAAATGTGCACTAGGCCTGTAGACGTACGCATTCAATTATCTGTTGCATACAACCACCATAAACCCCTTATAACAGATACACACTACGTGCTGTCAAGTTCTTTTTTTTTTCTTTTTTTACGTGCATATGTACAGCTATACTTCTAGTATAATGTAACGTACTCCCTTTTGATAACCTCTGTCATGAGTGTTGGAGCTATAGGCATTGCTATCAAAAGCAACCACACCCCCCTCTTGGTATTTTAACACACCTTCCACCTTCTATTCCTAAGGTAGCCCCTATTCCTATAAACATGTTTTTTCAAAGTGAAACTGCCATTCTGGAGTAAAACTGCGTGGTGACCAAAAGCAGGAGCATTCCATTCTGTTTCGTGCCCTTATTTTGTCACATGGCATAGCGATGAAGCTTGCCATTTTATTACATCTCACCTATTCCAGTTTTACACTTCAAGTCACTTACCTTTTCTAGAGGTCATGAGACATTGCTTCTACTGATCATCTAATTATTCAAGTCCACAGTGAACTTTGTTCGTTGTGGTACTAAGGCAGTGCTACAGTGCTGACTTGTAACAAAATTCATTTAACAGTCATGTGTGGAATTACGTATCCAGGGTTTACTTCATTGGCTCCAAAAAACTGTTGACCTCAATAAAGAGGAGCGACAATATAATTGTACGACAACGTTGACACAATCATTCCGCTTATGTAATGAAAAACGCTGTTGACAGAATAATCAATTGTATATGTCAGCACCAAATGCTTTTTATTGATGCGACAATGCACCCGTCATTTAAAAGCAACATCAAGCAGTTACTGAGCTTGCATAGCAAGAAGACGTATTTACCATTTTTTTTTACCACAGAGTCCACACTAGAAATGGAGATGGAAGAGGATGAGTCACCACGGTGGTCTAAATCACGGAGGAGCAACAGTAACTTCGTGAACTCTGGATCCACGATAGAGTAAGTTACATTAGCTTAAAGGTGCACTAAAGAGCAAAACACTGTTTCAAGAATTAGTAAAGTGCAATTTCACAATCCCGACATGACACTTGGTAAGCAAGAAACTGCGGTTGGAGACGCCACCTTGATATTCTTGGAGACACCACCTTGACCCCGAAACCACTCCACACGACACGCCTTTGTGCTACCGTTTCGTGTCGAAGAATTTCTCTATCTATAAATTCATGTATCATGTATTATTTTGCCCATGTAATCTCGCCATGTGATTTTAGTTGCAGAAAAGTATTTCTTCTTCGACATAGCGTTCATGTGCGAGAAGTATTCAAGGCTGACTGTCATATCATTTTTATTAAAAATTGTGCTGTCAAAGAAAGAACGCCCTTTATTCAGTACATTTGAAATTTTGAAGCCACCATCTCCACATTGTTCTGCTTTTTTCTTAACATTTCCACTTTTTTTTTCAGAGAAAAAACGTACTTCTTTAGTGGAGAAGAATTGCACAGTGATGTACAAGGTGAGTACACATTATTCATTTCTTTGTCAATATTTATATATACCCACCAAATGTTTTATTGAGTGCACGTCAACTTAACATGCGTTCTTATGAGGTGCCCTACATATGTGGAGTCTCACTCACGGTGCGATGACTCACTGGCCTAGGTCTCCACGTAGATTCAGAGGGCTGTCCAAATGCCCTGTTCTCCACCCCTCAACTTTGGAACGCATACCATAATAAGATTACATAACAGGCCCTGCCATAAGTTGACTCTCACCACAGAACCATCCTGTATCCACCCATGCCCATAGATTGTGAGGCCTAATTAGTGGCTGAATTTTGATTTCTACATGTAGTCTAATGCCATAATCAATGTAGCACAAATATCTTTCTGTACCTCTATCAATGCATTGACCCATTTACATTGTATACCTCATTATGGTGTACAGTTAATTGAACCTGACATTCCATGCGTCAAGTTGAATTGATAGGGTTGCCAACCCTGGATTCGTTGCGCCCTCGGTATAAGCAAAAAGCCTGCGCCTCTGCGAAAAATCATAGAAAACCGTCTACATAAATTTTTCCACTGCATTAAAGAGAACTACAACTGTTCACGCATTTAAACAGGTCAAAAAATCTCAGTAATGCGAATGCTACACATAGTTTCTTGATGTAACCGAATCATATTGCTACGAATCTGTCCGCTTAAGGCAATGTCACTATGCTACAAACTGTAGACCGTGCAAATGATTGTACTATGTTCATTACTGAGCTCTAATTGGGTTGTCGAACCCGAAACCGCTGTACAACCAGCATCCGAAATCATAGAGCTATAAGACCACAAAAAAAGTTAAAATAGCTTCCTTATAGTCAAATAATTGCCATATTGTAGAAAACTTTGCCCCCTGCTACCAATAATTTCACTGGTGCATGAACTAGTGCAGCCACAAAGCTTCATTCTGCAAAATAAAGCCTTTACTTTTAAATTAGCATGGCACCTCTTGTTACAGTAGCGTTTCTGATAGTGATGATATACTCTCTTTCAGCATTCTGTGTGGCCCTCTCCCCAAGAATGCCAATGGATTATGCATCAGAAGAAATCAAGTTTTCTTAGAAGTTACAGTATCTTACACATTTACACAGAAACACATCACACATGAAAATGTGTGTGAACAGTTTATACACCTTTCAAAGTACAAAACGTTTTTGACACACAACTATTCTATGCAGCACATTTTGTTCAGAACATGATGATGTCTTGGAAGCTGTAGTACTAACAGCCACTTAGTATGTGCGCACTTAAAGAAGGTTACCTGTCATGCTGAAAAAAGTGTGTAGCATTTTTGAGCACAACTTTGAGCAAAACATAATACTGACTGTTCATTGCTCATTTAAATAAGACCAACAAGAAAGCACATAATTACCCACAACAGCAAATAGTGACCAGCCCAGCTTCCATCATAGCAAAATGCACAAGAATAACCGTTAAACACTTTAGAAACTTCTGAATGTTGGTAAATGTTTATATCGCCACACACCATACAACATTCAATGTAAGCGCTTCAATGCAGAGCAAAAACGATCTCAAACACGCCATAACATCAACGATAACATCTCGCCGACTGTGCACTCCATGTTTTTTTTGTATTTTTTTCTGTGTCAACAGTAGCCTTCGGTAACACCAGTAAAGTGAAGTGCATGATACAGCAGGAACAAAAGAATGTTCGGCTGCCAAAAAGGAGAAATTCATTGAGCAAGTCTAAGCTGCGCATTGTCCAAGGATAACAACCTTTGCTAGCAATACCGCACACCCCACTGCAACAAGAATGTTCAACGAAAAAATTCTCAGTGCCATGAGTGTTGTGCAATTTTTACGAACACTTTAGCCGTCCCTACATCTTGTAAGTAATTTGCCTTGAGTTGTTCTAACAAAACATGAATAGAGGTATAAACAATTAAAATCTAAAGATTGTTTGTTTGGAATGTCTAACACAGCATAACAACCACTTCCTCTCTGTGACCACGTAACACCAAGCTAAAGCATCTTGAGTCTCACGATCACGTATCAGTAGGCCGCCGGAAACAGCAATGCTTCAAAATCAGCAGCACTGACTGTAATACTGTATGCTTCAAATACCTTCCGGAATATTTATAGAAGGTCGTTAACAACGGTGAGAATATGACGTAGCCAGGCACTCTCAATACTTGGGAGTGGCAAGAGCTTCACAAAACATAACGTGACGCACAAATCACACACAAAAACACGAAAACTAGTGTAACATGTTCTTCCACAGCATAACCGTTGCAAACAGAAGGACGGTGGGAAGGGAAGGAGAAAACATTCCAATTTACTCATCATAACACATATCTCTTACACGGGCAATATAGCAGAACAAATGCTCACTATACTATGACTCGTAGGCAAGACTTCGTGACCAAAGTGCCAGTCTGGAAATTCGCTACTACAACGCACATCGCATGACAGGAGAATGTTATGTATGTACAAGAGCAGTATGCTGACTATTCAGATAATAAAAAAGTATTTTTGCTAAAGAGGAACCAGAAGAAAATATCAGTGTTGTATCTTCTTCATTTCTCAACGCAAATACACGGCATGCATCGACACAAGCCAAGCAGATCAACACGGATATTTGGTCAAGAACGTTTGTCCCATTGGGATGCTGTCATCATTTGCAACATACGTGTCGTTTGCACGCAGCCAGTAAGTGACTGGACTGAATGCCCTGAGCAATGTGAGTTAATGCAGTGTTGCCAGTGTAGCTGCAAGGACTGGGGCAATTAAGCTGTCATAACTTCTGCAACAGGATCACAATGAGACGAGGAGATGGACATGGTCATACAACAGTGTTGTGGTGTTGCCACTCTGAAACGGAAAGAATCCAGAATCATTCCACATTTTCGCGAACTCGAAAGAATTAGGAATGGAATGACAACAAAGTTTGTAAGAATGGAATGGGAATGGAATCAAGCACATTTTCAATAAATATATTTGAAACGTACTTACGTCTTCTTCCGAAAATAGAGCACATTTTCGTCGACGCGCTGTTCTTCAAACTTCATACAACAGTAAATCAGACCCTTGAATTTAAAAATAAAGCTGTAATGTAGGAAGGCTTGGCTAATTACAGGCATTGTACATTTTTAAGCAAAGCACCTACTATAAATGTTTCCTTACATAGACTGTGTTACTCCGTAGTTTTTCTCTACTGTTCACATAACCACGGCACCATGCCATGGTAATCTTGTGTAACTATACGGTGGCAGCTTACCCATCTTACACTTTTTGATTTTTCTCCCTTGGTGGTCGAATAAGCGCTTCTCGAAGAAGCGCTTCTCTAAGTTTAGATGCGTATTGACGCCGGTGTGATGCTTGTGTTCACTGCAATCTTTCGTATACCAGCTTGTGCGCAGTCTCCTTTTTTTTTTTTTTTGCAATACTGTCCACCTTTCTCCCACCCCACCCCACTACCCACACAGATGGTTGTCTTTGCCTGAAACACTATCGCAAAGGTGTGTAGGTCAGCGCAGCACTCATTCTCACAAGATGAACTGAGTGATGTGTTAACTGTGTGTGTGATGAACTGTTGTATAAGATGAACCATACAGTGAGAGATACGGTAGATTTTTAAAAGCATTAGTTCAGGTAGCCAGCCACAGTAGGTGATCCCACGTAACCAAGGTGGCACCTCTCACAATCCCTACGCGATGATTGGCTAAGTCGTCATTAGCATTAACACATCTAACCTTAAACAATATAAAAACAGCATTCGTTTAAACATGCGCTTTTAGAAAAAAAATCTGCTTATGCACTAACTAAATACTAATCATTTACTTGTCACAAAAAGCACTAACCTCCTAGTAAGTAAATGTAGTAAAACGCTGATTAGTGAAACTTGCTAGTTTGCAAAGTAGTTAGCGAATAGTGCTGACTCGAATAATTAATACATTACTGAATTTTCTGTTAACGGGCATTTATATGTGCGTGTACATTGTCATATGAAGGTAATTCAATTACAGAAGTATATACAGAATAATTAATTAGTGGCCAATAATTAATTTACGTGATTGGCATGGCAAGTATTAATCACCGCAACATACATAGAGACATGAATGGCGAGGACACACACAGACGAGGACATACACGCGAACGCGCACATATAATATCTAGGCTTAGCCGGTATCGTATTGTGTAGCAGTCATTTGAAGGCTATTTATGCTCCCATTTTGTAATAGCACACTGCGTACTGGTTATCAGCCTTAAAAACTAGGAAAATGTTGGACGCGTTGTACACGTCATCGTCTGCCCTCCTATATACGTGTGTCATCTCTTTGTACGAAATATTCATTCCAAAATAATTGGCAAAGTCTACATGCGTATAAGTTTTTCCTAAGCGAGTTATGATTACTGCAAGATATAGGGTGGTGTTTACAAGAGATCTGGCAATAATTGTGGCTTAGTAGTTACCTAGTTAAAAAATAAAGAAAGCGTTCTTGGTTAGCACTGGTAAAAAGTTTCAAGCTTTTCTAGCTGCTGGCTATAGTAAAGAGATGTCGCCAAGGCAGCAAGATACGCTCGAAACAAGTAAATGCATGCGCTGCCAACTGTTCACAAGCTTTTTAAAGATTTTGCTGACCATGCAAATAACTTAGGCAGTGAACTGCCCCTATGAAAACTAGTAGCGTGGTTGTACTGAACGATATAAGTCACCAAGCTACTATCCCTCGACCCCCGTAACGTGTTTAGTGTAGTTATGCAGTTCTTACGCATCTTGATGACATCGTTTTTATGCTGTTACAATCATTTTCAGCTGATAAAGATGCCAAAATATCCCTTTCCTACATTGAGGAATCGTAGGAATGGAACTGACCTGCCTGTTCACTCCCAGAGTGGGATTGAGCCAAGGTTGTTTGTTTCCATTCCAAAAAAGTGAAAAGAATAGAATTACGGCAGCATGCAGTTCATGGAAGTAAACTGTAATGGAATGGAGGTGCCCATACCGCAACACTGCCATACAGTGACAAAAATACTTTCTTGTTTCAAACCTTATGAGAAAAGCTGGCCTGACTACACTGACATCTGTTCAAAATTAATTGTGAGTGCTTTAGAGCATTATACTGTCACGTAACAGTGAGGGTAGCCCGAAGACAGGAGACCGGGAGGTTAGTAGAAATAGGAGATCCGTTTATTTGGCGGACTTGCGCCCCCTAAAGGAAAACAGACACACCGGCTTAGTGGGAGGCGAGCAGCGCGTTCGACGGCCGTCGGGTAACAGAAAATGTCCCACTGGAACGCAAGGCGCGTTCGACGGCTGTCGGGTAACAGAAATGTCCCACTGGAACGCAAGGTGCGTTCGACGGCCGTCCGGTAACAGAAATGTCCCACTGGAACGCAATGCGCGTTCACCATCCGAGATACAGTCGCCGTAGCGTCTGGCGCTATCTCTTTATCAACGAATGGTCGACGTGCGGGCCATGATCTTCGCAGATGAGTCGCGGTGCATTCTAGACCACGATAAGGCCGCGTGCCGGCGGTATCGGCATGCGCAACACTATCCGCAATACGGCTCGCGGCATTGCTCCCCTCCTCAACGTAAGCATCGACCCGATGCTTTGTTTAAAATAAAACTAAAACAAAAGGACAGCCTGTGCGAAAGTAAATGGCAAATAAGCACGAATCACGCACACATAAACAAAACAAGAGATGCAAACTGGGAGCCTCCTTTAGCGCGCATGATAGGGCTTCAAACGGGCGACGTGTGCCACTTCTTGTCGTGCGCGGCGTCGTTGGGATGAGCTAGCCCCATCAGGGACCACTTCATAGTCCACTTCACCCACTTGACGGATGACTTTGTATGGGCCGAAATAACGGCGCATGAGTTTTTCGCTTAATCCTCGGCAGCGAACGGGCGTCCAAACCCAAACTTTGTCACCTGGCCTGTATGTTAAATCGCGTCTCCGCAGGTTGTAGCGTCTTGAGTCGTTTCGCTGTTGGTCTTTTATGCGCAGACGAGCAAGCTGCCGGGCTTCTTCTGCGCGCTAAAGGTAGGCGGCCACGTCTAGGTTGTTTTCATCGGTGACATTAGGCAGCATGGCGTCCAGGGTAGTAACGGCATCCCTCCCATGGACGAGAATAAATGGTGTCATTTTAGTGGTCTCCTGCACCACGGTGTTGTAGGCGAAGACCACGTAAGGCAGACTTAAGTCCCAAGTCTTGTGTTCTGTGTATACGTACATAGCGAGCATATCGGCAATGGTCTTGTTCAAGCGTTCCGTGAGACCATTTGTCTGCGGATGGTACGCAGTTGTTCTTCGGTGATCTGTATGACTGTAATGTAAGATTGCCTGAGTAAGATCAGCCGTAAACGCTGTTCCCCTGTCTGTTATTAGTACCTCAGGTGCGCCATGACGGAGGAGAATTGATTCGACAAAAAATTTGGCAACTTCTACGGCTGTGCCGTTCGGGAGGGCCTTAGCTTCAGCGTATCTGGTAAGGTAATCAGTGGCCACTATGATCCACTTGTTACCGGATGTTGACGTGGGGAAAGGTCCAAGCAGGTCCATACCAATCTGTTGGAATGGTCTCGACGGGGGTTCAATTGGCTTGAGAAATCCAGCTGGTTTTGTTGGAGGTCTCTTCCGGCGCTGACATTCGCGGCAACTCTGGACGTACCGCGCAACATCTGAGGAGAGGCGGGGCCAGTATTATCGTTCTTGAATTCTGTGGAGTGTGCGTGTAAAACCGAGGTGGCCTGCAGTGGGTTCGTCATGTAACGCTTGTAAAATTTCTTCTGTGATGCTGCTTGGGACGACAAGAAGGTAAGCTGCCTTATTCGGTGCGAAGTTCTTTTTAACTACCACCCCGTTTTGCACACAGAAGGAGGATATCCCACGCTTGAACAGTGCAGGCGGTATAGAGGCCTTTCTTTCGATGTAGTTGATCAACTGTTGTAGGATCGGGTCTGAGCGCTGCTGTAATGCAAAGGTGCTGCTGCTGATAGGCCCAAGAAAGGCATCGTCGTCTTCATGGCTTGGTGTTGCGCCGACAGGGGCTCTTGAGAGGCAGTCTGCGTCGGAGTGCTTACGACCAGATGTGTAGACTACCTTCACGTCAAACTCCTGAAGCCGTAGGCTCCATCGAGCGAGGCGGCCAGAAGGGTATTTCAAACTGGCCAACCAGCACAACGCATGATGGTCCGTTACGACCTTGAAGGGTCTGCCATATAAGTATGGGCGGCATTTCGAGGTGGCCCATACTATCGCAAGACACTCCTTCTCAGACGTGGAATAGTTCACTTCCGCTTTCGACAGTGAGCGGTTTGCATACGCGATGACGCGCTCGCAGCCCTTGTGCTTCTGAACGAGAACGGCACCTAAGCCGATGCTGCTGGCGTCTGTATGTATCTCAGTTTCAGCATTTTCATCAAAGTGACCCAGCACAGGCGGCGACTGTAAACGTTGTTGAAGTTCCTTGAATGTCTCACGTTGCTCAGCTTTCCATTCGAAAGGGGCGTCCGACTTGGTGAGCTGCGTCAAAG